AAGGTGTTTGTAGTCCAGGGAGTGTGTCCCAAGGAGCTCAGCAGAGCTGTCCCTGCTGTGGAGGGTGTAGGACTGAGAGCAGAACTCCATAGTGCAGGAAGCAAGAATCATTCCCTCCCCAAACAGAACTGTTCTGTGGCTTCTGCTGACTTATACCCAACCTCTTGTCTCTCTTTTCCTTGCAGGTTCATGGAACAGCATCCAGAAATGGACTTTTCAAAGGCTAAATTCAACTGAGCCCTCCCCTTCTCCCACCCCTCTTTGAGTCACCCATCGAATGGGGCAGGATGTGTATTGTTGGATATTCTTCACCTTGGGCAAGTCAACACTTCCAGCATCCCCACCCGAGCTTGCTGTGGAAGCAGCTTCATGGAGTCACCCTCAGTGTCCTGTGTGGAGCAGAAGGCACAGCCACAGCAGCTCCAGTTGGAGACATCTGCCACACTTCCCAAAGGGCAGTGAGGAGAGAAGGAGGGGTTAGAGCAAAAAGGGAGTTAGGGCTGAGAGAGACCTGAGAGATTTTGGGACATGTCCTTAATGTATTGCTTAGCTTCCTCAGGCTCTTCAGAGCTGCTTTGCCGGTTCAGTTTGGCCACAGGTACTCCTGAGTTTTTATTCCCTCCTGCTCTCCTGTGAAACAAAGGTCAATTTATTTCATAAAATAATTCTCCTTCTGCCTCTTTGGGAAGGGAAAACAGCAGTTTACAACCACAGTTCTTGCAGTAAAGACAGGCTCTGCTTCTCCTTGCTTCTCCTCCTGTTTTTCCCACGAGTGGGACAGCTGGAGCACTCCAGGGCTCCCAGCACAGCTGGAGAGGTCAACCTGCTGTCCTGCAGCAAGGGCAGGCTGAAGAGTCTGTGGGTGTGGGCAAGGGAGAGGATGTGGAGGGGATTTGGGGTTCTGTTCTTGCTGGGAATGTGTCTCCTGCCTCTTTTCCAAGAGCCTCTCCCTGCTGACAACTGACAGGTGTTCTCTGCTGAGCTCCCACTGACGAGTGGCATAACTCTGCATGTTCATATCTTTGTTAAAACTGCAGTGCAACATAAAGGAAAAATGGCATATTTCCAGGCAGAGTGTGATTTCTCCTGCAGAAGGGGTGTGGGATTGGGGCTGCTGCACAGGCTGGGAGGGGGCAGTGGTGGGAGGCTGCTGGCTGGGTCTGGGGTCATGCTCTCTGCAGGTGTAAATACCCCTTGAGCTCTCTGCTGTGGACTGATGGTCACTCCCTTCCTCAGGGAGAGACTGTGAGCTCTGTGTCTCACTGGGGAGTGCTGCTAAATCCTATTCCCACCTTAAACCCTCAGGGCTCTCCACGTAGCAGCACATGACCACACCAGGAAGCCACCCTTGCCCCAGGCCTCCTTCATGGCAAGACAACCAGGAGTATCACAAAGTCCTGGGCTCTGTCAGTCCCTTACAGGCTACCCCAGGTCTCTGCAGCTGTGGTTCTTCCCTCTGCCTCCATGAAACGTTTCCACCTCCTTCCCAAAGGCTGACAAACCTGCTTGGGCAAAGTCCAGCCTGGCACTGCACCTGGCGTGTTGGGGGTTATTTTGTTTTTTTGAGGAGTAGAATACTGTTTGCATTAAGTCTCCCGGTTTTACAGGCTCTTGGGATCAAAAAGCAGCTCCCACCCAGCTCAGCAGTGACCTTGAGGGTGAGCAAGGACTCAGGTCGGGGCCGCTGCCTCTGCAGTGCTGTGCTTTGAATCCTCCTGCCTGTTTATCTTACAGTTCACCCCCACACACATCTGCCTGTCTGTGCTTGGGCCCTGGTGAAAGAACAGCTTCTGTTTCCATAAGAAAAGCTGCTTAGCCCTGGAGTGAGCTACCTGCCAGTGTCTGCTGAACTGGGGCATGGGGCAGGTGGGCTGGGAGGGCCAGGCTGCCCCAAGCTGGGGGTGTGATGAGCTTCATCCCCTTCTCAGCTATGTCAGAACAATGCTGCTGCTCCCTGGAGGTGGAGGGACAGGGCTAAGCTCTGCACCTGCAGCAGGATCCATATCCAGCCCCTCCTATGGAGCAAGCACAGGCAGGCAGCAGGGCAGCAGGTGGGGAGCACAGTTCATGGCACCACCCCAAGCCCAACCTGTAGCTTTGTTATTTCCCTGTTTCCTCCTCAGCCTTGGATCCAGCACTACAAACCCTCAGCCTAGCTGCCCCCATGGCTGGCAGCTGCCTGGATCAGGAGCAGAGTGGGAGCAGCAGTTGCTGTTACACAGCCTTGGCACTGCCTGTTTTTAGTGCAGTGTCACCAAACCCAAAATCTTGGGGGTGTTCTATCCTCAGTCCCTCCAGGGTCACAGCTTGTGTGAGCCACAGCAGTGTCTGGGATAATAACTGTGAAAATCCCAAATTTGGCAGTTCAGGGTGGCCCTGGGCTCTGGTTGGTGTCACTCACAGGAGGCAGCTGAGCTCAGACAGAGAAAAGGCAGTGGCAGGAAACCCTAGGGAAGCAGAGGAAGAGTTTTTGAGGTGAAGGAGTGTCATTGGCCTTTCAGGGACAGAAGAGGAAAAGGCAAACAGCTCTGAGAGAATGGGGCCATCACTGCTGCTCCAAACCCTGCAGAGGTGAATGCCCTGGGCTGTGTTTGTGAACTGTGGCTGATCCCAGTGCTATCCCTGGACTTCAACCCTTTCGGCCAGCGGAACAGAAGGTGTTTCTCCTGTTGGCCTTGTCCTCTGCATATATCCTCCTGCTGTCACTGACTTTCCCCAGGCCAAGGTGACTCAGGAGCTCCCTTTTGCTTCCAAAGGCAGATTTCTCTGGAATAAACCATGCCAGGGACTGAGCAGCTCCTTAAGGAATGCTAAGCCCCACCTCAGCCTGAGTTACTGGAGACCATGGAGAGTGGCCTCATCCTTGTGCCCACAGCAGGGAAATGCTGAGCACCACAAACGTGGTGCCCAGGGAAATGGTGGAATCACCATCTCTGGAAGTATTCAGAAATTGTCTAGATGTGGAACCTGGGGAGATGGTTTAGTGGTGAATATGACAGTGGTTCATGTTTGGACTCAATAATCTTAAAGGTCTTTTCATGACTCTTATGATTCCATGGTGATTTAATACCTTGGTCTCCTGATGTGTTACTAGGAACTTTGGGATCCAAACCCTACAAACACATCCTTGTCTTGGCTTCTGGCAGATATTTCCCTGCCCGAGCCCCAGCAGCCAGGGGAGGGTTGTGCTGTGACAGGTGATGAAGGTCCCTTTGTCTTTCCACACCTCCAGGTCATCTGGAGAAGCCGTTTCGGTGCTGCCACCCGCCGGAGCCGCCGCTGCCAACACATCCAGAGCTCCTCACCTCCCTCCCCTGGGCCCCTTCTCACCTCCTCTAAAACCAAAGCCCTGCAGCCACACAGGCTCTGCACAGAGCTTTCCAGAAGGTAAAAGTTTTCCCCTAACAGCAGCTCTTGGCGTAGCTTTTCTTAATGAATATTGCAGCTTGGATCAGTTGGGAAATGTCCCAGACTGCAGGACTGCTTTGGGAAGAGTGATGGAATAGCAAAGCCCCGAAGAGGGAGCCACATACACTGAGTATTAACATCCCTGCTTGGTTTTAGGAGGAGCCACAGCTCCTCTGATACTGTAAGGACCAGGCTGCGAGGAATTAGGGACCACCCACTCACTTTCCAAGTCACACTGAAATGAATAATTCAGCAGTTCAGGGTGTGGATGTGGAAGAGGAATTTCTTTAACACTCCTGCAGAGTTATTGATTCCTTAACCCCATCCCAGGGAACTGCTGGCAGTGCATGGATCCCTCTGAGGTCACTGTGCTACAGACCATGGCAAGGACCCATGCACAGAGGGAGTCTCTGGGAGTCTCCTGGCAAAACCAAGCCCAATAACACCAAACAATGTCTTCAGGAAGAGGCAGGTGCTGAGTCAGGCTCCCAAAAGGAAGTACCTGTGTGAAAGAAGACGTTTGCATGCATGTGGCCAGGTAAAGGGCTCTGGTGTTCATGAGATCTCCACTTGGGCAACCAACTCTTTCTGCCAGATCACTCACCTGATCACTCAACACTAATGCTCAGAGAAAAACCACTCCAGCCACAGCCAAGACAGCTCCAGTGACAGCAAACACAACATCCTGCAGACAAAACTCACTGTGGATTCATTCCATGTGTGCAAGGAAACCCATGGTCCATTCAGTGAACTCCAAAGAACTGCTGAACACAGGACTGACAGCCCCAACCAGCCGGTTTGAAGGCTCCAGGCAGAAAAACAACATCTCCAGAGACCCTTCCCAGCCAAGAGAAGGCAGCACTTACCTGTTCATGGCTTTGAAATCCTTCCAGGAAACACATCTCTTGTGCAACTGGGAGTTGGTCCTGTGCAGTAGGGGAAAAACCCCTACACCCATGATCACTGCCCTCTGTTCTCTGCCCTGGGAGGGTGAGGGAAGGTCAGCAGGAGGGAATGGAGCTCTGCAGGTTATCCTGAGGTTTTGTGGTGAAATGGGAAAATGCAGAACTCGTCCTTCAAGACAGGATCAGAAGCTAAGAAACTCCTGCCCTGCCATCAGGGCCAGCAGCTGCTCCAGAGCAATCCCTGCATTTCCTACCAAGAGCTGGCTACATCACAGGGACAAGATGGAAATTCTCCCCTCAGGCTCAGGTTTCTCAGAGCTCAGTTCCAGCATCACCCCTCAGGGAACATCCAGGTTTCCCTGCATGCCAACAGGCACTTCCCCAGAGGCTCCTTAATTTACATCCAGGCACCAACCTGGTGTTCAGCACTAAGAAAAATCCCCCTGGAGCTGCCAAATGGCTGAAAATATCTTTGTCCATCTGGGAAAGCAAAGAACCAACCACCCCCTGTGCAACCTGCCCCCAGGATCCCCAAAGTGATGCAAG